GGTTGCTGTGAGCTGTGATGCCACAGGACTCTACCCAGGGTGACAGCTTGAGGCTCTGTCTCAAAAAAAAGTTATGGAAGTCAGTTTCTGTTTCTATTAAAAAAGAAAGAAAAAAAAGTGGCGTGGTGACTCATGTCTGTAGTCCTAATACTTGAGAAGCCCAAAGTCCTACTGGTCCAACTGCTTGAGGCCAGGAGTTTGAGATGAGCCTGAGCAGCATAGTGAAATACTATCTTTATTTTTATAGTTAAATAAATAAATAATATTGTGGAATATTTTAGCCTTGAAAAAGAGGTAAATTGGCCAGGCACAGTGGCTCACACCTGTAATCCTCACACTCTGGGAGGTCGAGGCGGGTGGCTGGCTTGAGCTCAAGAGTTAAAGACCAGCCTGAGCAAGAGCAAGACCGGCATTTACTAAAATAGAAAAAACTAGTCTGGCATTGTGGGGCATACCTGTAGTCCCAGCTACTCAGGAGGCTGAGGCAAGAGGATCGCTCAAGCCCAAGAATTTGAGGTTGCTGTGAGCTAGGATGACACCACAGCACTCTACCCAGGGTGACAGACGGAGACTACAACATTCATGCTACAATATGAACCTTGAAAACATTACGAAGGGAAGTATGAAATAACTCAGATATGAAAAGACAAATACTATATAATTCCACTTGTATGAGGTACCTAGAATAAACAAATCATAGACACAGAAAATAGAATGATGGGTACCAGCAGCAGGTAGAGGGAAAATGGCGAGTTTAATGGAATTAACTTGTATAGAGTTTAATGGAATTAACTTGTTTCAGGTTGTGATGATAGAAACATTCTGGAGATAAATGGTAGTGTTGGTTACACAACAGTGTGTTTAATGCCATTGAATTGTTTGTATACCTGAAAATGGTAAAAATACATATATAGTGCAACATGTGTGTGTGTAACTTAACAAACCTACAAAGGAGGTTTTTCCCTGGGCTCAGCCACTTGCCACACAGAAAGCCAATTGCTCAAACACCGAAGAAGAAAGGATGTTTATTTCAAAGGATGCCGTCTGGAAAGCAGAGAATTGCCTAAAATCCACCTCCCTAATTGATAGGGTCAGGGGTTTTTCTAGAGTTGAAATTAATAATAAATAAAGTGAGTACACATTATTCCATGTTTGGAGTGATGTGTAGGGCACACAAGCACTGTGAGAAATCATATTGGCACATACATTGTATCAAAAAATGGTAGATAAGCCTCTCCCAGGGTGGATTTTTTATTTTTTCTTTTTTGCAGTTTTTGGCTGGAGCTGGGTTTGAACCCATCACCTCCTATATATGGGGCCGGCACCCTACTCGTTGAGCCACAGATGCCATCCTGGATATTTTAGTAGTATAATGAACAAGGCATTAATATTGATCATCCTTTCAAGTCTTGTGCCCATGCAGATTGTGGGGAATAGGTTGCTCAATGGGTCCCTGGGGTATATTTGCAGTGGAATGCCACTTAGCTTAACTTTTCTGAACAACGGGGTGGTGTCAGGACTTGTAGTTATCCTGTTATTAAAAGGAGGGTCCACTGTTTCTGAAAAACAACTCAAAAATGAAGGGATCAGTGAAACAGAATATTACAAAGTTCTGGTCACCAAAGATTACTGGCCTGGGAACTTGAAACATGGGGAACTGCATAGCCAGGCATCATGGCAGACACCTGTAGTCCCAGCTACTCAGGAGGCTAAGGCAGGAGGCACTTGAGCCCAGGAGTCTGTGAGCTGTGACACTAGGCACTCAACCCCAAGGTAACAGAGTGAGACGGTCTCCCACGCAAAAAAAAATATAATAATAACCTCAAAAGGGAGCTGATTATGTGTACATACATGTATGTGTGTGCCTACATGTATTTATCTATATAACCTGTGTCATCACCACTCAGGTCAAGAATGCCTTCTTCCCAAAAGCCCAATCTGTGCTTTTTGTACTTACAGTGACTTACTAGGGAGGGTCATGTGGGGAGCACAATCTCAATCTCCTTGACCTCCATAAGCATCTGGACATCTTTTTTTTTGAGACAGAGCCTCAAGCTGTCCCCCTGGGTAGAGTGTCGTGGCATTACAGCTCACAGCAACCTCCAACTCCTGATTTCTATCTCTAGACACTTTCCAGGTGCTGAGTCTGAGTTAGCTGACTTTTTCTTTTGTTTTTTTAACAGTAGCCATTATCAAAAGAAAAGAAACATTTGTACACCTAACCTCACGACACCGATACCTAATAGGTTTGATTTCCTGCCCTGTTCACGCATTTAGGGTGGAACTTGACCTACATTCATTTCTAAGTCACAGGCATCTGATGGGGGCTCTCAAAGTGACAGCCTGCTGCAACATCTAGTACTAACTTTTGTTTTCTTTTTTTTTTTTTTTTTTTGAGACAGAGCCTCAAGCTGTCCCCCTGGGCAGAGTGCCGTGGCATTACAGCTCACAGCAACCTCCAACTCCTGGGCTCAAGCGAGTCTCCTGCCTCCGCCTCCCAAGTAGCTGGGACCACAGGCGCCCGCCACAACGCCCGGCTATTTTTTGGTTGCAGCCGTCATTGTTGTTTGGCGGGTCCGGGCTGGGGATTTGAACCCGCCACCTTAGGTGTACGTGGCTGGCGCCTTAGCCGGTTGAGCTATAGGCGCCGAGCCAACTTTTGTTTTCTTATTCTACCTGCTCACATGAAGTTTATCTTACCCAAAAGACAGGTTTGTTTTTTGTTTTTTGTTTTTTTTGAGACAGAGCTCAAGCTATCCCCTGGGTAGAGTGCCGTGGCATCACGCTCACAGCAACCTCCAATTCCTGGACTCAAGCAAGTCTCCTGCCTCCGCCTCCCAAGTAGCTGGGACCACAGGCGCCCGCCACAACGCCTGGCTATTTTTGGTTGCAGCCACCATTGTTGTTTGGCGAGCCCTGGCTGGATTCGAACCCACCACCTTAGCTGCTTGAGCCACAGGCGCCGAGCCAAGACAGGTTATTGATGATTAACATGTAAATGGAATTTGGGGTAAGACAAATTTTTTTTTTTTTTTTTGAGACAGAGCTCAAGCTATCCCCTGGGTAGAGGGCCATGGCATCACAGCTCACAGCAACCTCCAACTCCTGGGCTCAAGAGAGTCTCCTGTCTCTGCCTCCCAAGTAGCTGGGACCACAGGCACCTGCCACAAAGCCTGGCTATTTTTGGTTGCAACCATCATTGTTGTTTGGCGGGCCTGGCTGGATTCGAACCCGCCACCTTAGGTGTATGTGGCTGGCACCTTAGCCGCTTGAGCCACAGGCACCGAGCCTAAGACAGATATTTTAAAGGTCATCTGAAGAAATAATAGAAACAATATTCTTGAACAGTAACTAACTTTTCCTCTCTTTCAAGGTTTCTCAAACTTTTTAGACCCAAACCCCACCACCCCAGCACAATGTGCATCTGTTATTACATGAGACACATTCTGACTTTTTTTTCATTTCTTCTTGTAAAAATGCTGATTGCAACCCACTAAAACTGATTTCATGACTCCCTCATCAGTCTCAGCTTACAGTTTGAAAACACTATACCAATCTAAATATTTTATCCATCAGGATGTTTCTGTTTCTATTTTGTTTGTTTGTGCCTATAATGTCGCTTAGCTGCCTACACATCACATCCTGCCCTAGTGGAGAAAATCTCGTCCCTGTGACAGGCATTGAGAAGGAGTTGCTGTTGCAGAGTTTGTGGCAGGAAAAAAATAAGGAAAATTCACTTCAGTTTTGTTTCCACCGCCAGCGTTGGGGACTGCTAACCTCTAGGTGTCCTCAGACCTAGGAATTAACCTCCCCTGTATGGCAGCGTTTTTGATGAAAACAGAAAGTTTAGTCAGCTCTTTCTTCTCAGATACCTTCTGAGTAGTTATTTTAGTCGGTTTGAGGGTTTTGTTTTGTTTTTCCCTTCTCTTTGCATCACTTCCTTTCTCTCAGTGACTCTTCAAAAAGAGTTACTCAAAACTGCCAAACAATTAAGTTACTCAATTCCCAGATCTCTATCTTCCTCTTAAGTTGATAACCTCTCGACTAACAAGCTTCAGCCCAGCCAAACCAGGGACACCAGGAAAAACGCAGAGTGAAGGATGCCCAAGAAGGTAACTAGCAGAAAGGAAGAGGCGACTTCACATTGGTTGGTTTGGGTTTGGTTAACTGGCTGTTCCCTTTTGTGTGGGCTCTCAGCCAGGCTGACCAATGCCGGTGGCAGAGCCGGCCAGCGCCTCACCTGGCGCTGTGAAGCCTGTGGCCGCTCCATGCTCAGGGGAGGCGCCTTCCTTTCACTTTCTCAGGCCACAAACCTGACACCTGGGGCCAGAACTACACTTCCCACCACGCAGCGAGGCAGGAGGAAGAAGGGGCTCTGAGGGCTGGGAAGGAGAGCCAGGAGACAGAGAGCATTACCGGCTTGCTGGCAGAGGTGAGAGAGCAAGACCGGTGAGCAACAGGTGGACCAGGAAGGCGCCGGCCGCGGGATGAAGGGGCGTAGTCCGGGTGGACACTGCTGTTTCTCCTGGCAGGGCTGAGTTAAAGGGGGCTTCTTTGTGGAAGTCTATAGTGGGAGGGGCAATGTGTGCGGGGAAGACAGGGGAATAAGATCTTAACTCAGGTTACAGGGATAAGACACCGGAAGTGGAATGGCTGTCTTTAGTTGAAAAGTCAGAGAGGAAAAAAAGTTCTGATTGTGTCTCTCATCTGCTGGGTCATTTACCCAAATGTGATTCATTCCAGAAGTGTCCAAAAGAGGTATGGAATCCTTCCTCATTCCCCCCCCCCTTTTTTTAGAGACAGAGTCTCACTTTTTCACCCTCAGTAGAGTGCTGTAACATCACAGCTCACAGCAACCTCCAACCCCTGGGCTTAGGCGATTCTCTTGCCTCAGCCTCCCAAGTAGCTGGGACTATAGGCACCTGCCACAGCGTCCGGTTATTTTTTATTGCAGTTTGGCTGGGGCCATATTTGAATCTGCCACCCTCGGTATATGAGGCCTGTGCCCTACTCACTGAGCCGCAGGTGCCACCCCCTTCCTCATCCCTTTAAAGACCTGGGTTTTTAATTTTTTTTTTCTGCCCCTAAAGCCCTGGGTTTTTACTTGCAGTTTGGATATTTGTGTGCATTTTACTTTGTGTGATGATGCAGATGTGCCCTTTTCCATGACTTTAGAAAAAAACAAAGGGGAATGAAGAAGGCCATCATAGCACAGGAGCAATTTGAGGCATGTCACATTTAATTGTCAAATGGATAAGGTTTCAGTTATAATACTTACAGGAGCTATTTGATGAGGAGACCTAAACAGTATTATGTGAAGAACATGATATATGCCTGGGAACATTCATCTTCCTGCTCCCAAATATCTGACAGGCTGTCATGTGGAATTGGAATTTGACATGTGCTGGGGGAGTGAGGGTGATACTCAGACAGATGCGAACCCCAGGGGGGCAGGTTTCAACCCCACAGAAGTAGGAGCTTCCCAGTGCAAAGTGGCTTTATTTCAGGAAGCAGTGAATTCCTTGTGATCAAAGATATGTAAGCATCAGTAGATATGTAAGCAGGGCTGCAAATGATGGGAATAAAGTTTCAGGTGAGGGATTGTGTTATTGATTTGCAAACCTTCTTTGTCATCAGGATCACCTGGGGGTAGGGGGTGGAGAGAGAGAGAGAGAGAGAGAGAGATTTCTTTTTTTTTTTTTTGGTAAACACAGAGTCTCACTTTATCATCCTCAGTAGAGTGCTTTGGTGTCACACAGCTCACAGCAACTTCTAGCTCTTGGGCTTAGGTGATTCTCTTGTCTCAGCCTCCCAAGTAGCTAGGACTACAGGCGCCCGCCACAACGCCCGGCTATTTTTTGGTTGCAGTTCAGCTGGGGCCAGGTTTGAACCCACCACCCTCGGTATATGGGGCTGGTGCCCTACTCACTGAGCCACAGGCACCACGCTCTATTTTTTTTTTTTTTTTTTTTTAGGAGAGACAGGTCTCACTCTGGCTCAGGCTGGTCTTAAACTCCTCAGCTCAAGCAATCCACCTCCTTTGGCCTCCCAGAGTGTTAGGATTATAGGCATGAGCCACCATGCCCAGCTGGCCACAAATGTCTAGTTTTAATGATCGCCCCAGAAAACTGAGAATCTGTTAGTTTGGTAAACATTGTCATAAGAAACATTAAAGTGGCTCGGCGCCTATGGCTCAAGTGGCTAAGGCGCCAGCCACATACACCTAAGATGGTGGGTTCGAATCCAACCCAGGCCCACCAAACAACAATGACGGCTGCAACCAAAAAATACCCAGGCGTTGTGGCGGGCACCGGTGGTCCCAGCTACTTGGGAGGCTGAGGCAGGAGACTTGCTTGAGCCCAGGAGTTGGAGGTTGCTGTGAGCTGCTGTGATGCCAGGGCACTCTACCCAGGTAGACAGCTTGAGGCTCTGTCTCAAGAAAGAAAGAAAGAAAGAAAGAAAAGAAAGAAAGAAAGAAAGAAAGAAAGAAAGAAAGAAAGAAACCTATAGCAAAATATGCCCTAACATTCTTTGTTTATGTGTGTGTGTGGGGGGGTCTCACTATGTTGCCCTAGATAGTGTTGAGTTCCTAGGCTCCTTCTTTGGCCTCCCACTGTAACCAGCTCTTATAACATTTTAATTTTTTTCTTTATTTAATTTGAATTTTTTCTTTTCTTTTTCTTTCTTTCCTTCTTTTTTGTTTTATTTTATTTATTTATTTATTTATTTATTCTGAGGCAGGATCTCACTCTGTGCCCTGGATGGAGTGCTGTAGCATCATAGCTCACAGCAACCTCAAACTTTTAGGCTTGCACAATCCTCTTGCTTCTGCCTCCTGGGAAGCTATTCAGTCTGGTTTTCAACGCTTTTTTTTTTGAAACAGAATCTCAATTTTGTTGCCCTCAATAGAATGCCATGGCATCACAGCTCACAGCAACCTCAAAGTCTTAGGCTCAAGTGATCCTCCCTCCTCAGCCTCCCGAGTAGCTGGGACTCAGGCACCCACCACAATACCCAGCTATTTTTAGAGAAGGGGTCTCACTCTGGCTCTGGCTGGTCTCAAACCTTCTCAGGCAATCCACCCATCTTGGCCTCCCAGAGTGCTAGGATTACAAGCATGAGCCACTGTACTCAGCCTACAGTTTTAATTTGACTTTTCTCAGAATCCTGATTTCCTGTTCAGGAACAAATTAGATGCTAACCAGAATAAAAATGCCACATCAGGGCAGCACCTTGGCTCAGTAGGTAAGGCGCCGGCCCCATATACCGAGGGTGGCGGGTTCAAACTCTGCCCCAGTCAGCTAAAACAGTAATGAGAACTGCACCAAAAAATAGCTGAGCATTGTGGCAGGCACCTGTAGTCCCAGCTACTCGGGAGGCTGAGGCAAGAGAATCGCTTAAGCCCAAGAGTTGGAGATTGCTGTGAGCTGTGATGCCATAGCACTCTACCAAGGGCAACAAAATGAGACTCTGTCTAAAACAAACAAACAAACAAAAAAATGCCACATCACTCTTCGCCAAACTCACCACTCAACTCTTACTGGTCCTTACTGCTGGTTGCATAGGCAGTAAGTCTTCTAGTTGTTGGGAGTCTCCCTCCAGCATAAACAGGCAGGTCCTTCAATGGCAGCTGAGTCACTGTGGTGGGCATCTCCTCTGCCATACTCCTGCTCTCTGGGCACTCTGCTGGAGCATGGGGCACCTCATCTCCAGGACTAGGATGTCATTAGTGCTTTTATCCGACAGTGTTGACTGTCTACTGGGCCCACCAGAGAATAGCAATAAAACCTCTTTAATCTGTAGGTCCCTCTAAAGTAATATGAACACACCCAGTCGCCTTGTTGGACAACTCTTCTGTGCCTAACCAGTCAATAGCATCTTCTCCCAGGAGGGTGTTAGTGCTGTGTCTTGTCTTCTTCTATGGGACCCCAGCGCCTGGTGGCTGGTAGGTATTCACTCAAGAGAAGCTGAATTCCTTCCTCTCTTTCTAGGTCTTTTCTAGGAGGGAAGAGCCATGCAGTTCTCCAGCTCAACCAGGGCAGCTGATGAGAACTTCGACTATTTGTTCAAGATTATCCTCATTGGGGATTCCAACGTGGGGAAAACGTGTGTGGTACAGCATTTCAAGTCTGGGGTCTACACCGAGACACAGCAGAATACGATTGGGGTAGACTTCACCGTGCGCTCCCTTGAGATTGATGGCAAGAAAGTGAAGGTCAGAGGGGCACTGGGGCTGGTTCCATCTCTTTCAGCCAGAGTTTCCAGTGCCAGAACATGTGTCTGAGTGATAAAAGATACCTGTAAGGAATCATAAAAGTGCCAGAAGAAAACATGGGGATATTTATTTTTATCATCATGGAATGGGGAAATCTGCCTTGTAATCCCAGAAGCCATAATGGGAAATATTGCTAAATCTTACAGATCAAATTTATTTATACATTTCTGTGTAACCATATAAGGGTCAAATATTCTATGTATTCAAAAGATACCATAATCAGGCTTGGCACCTGTAGCTCAGCAGCTAAGGCACTGCCCACATACACCGGAGCTGGCAGGTTCAAACCCAGCCCGGGCCTGCCAAACAACAATGACAACTACAACTACAACAACAACAAAAAAAAAATAGTCGGGCATTGTGGTGGGTACCTGTACTCCCAACTACTTGGGAGACTGAGGCAAGAGAATCACTTAAGCCCAAGAATTTGAGGTTGCTATGAGCTGTGATGCCATGGCACTGTAATAAGGGCAACATAGTGAGACTACAAAAAAACAAATAAAAGGGCGGTGCCTGTGGCTCAGTGAGTAGGCCACCCAACCCATACCAAGGGTGGAGGGTTTATACCCAGCCCTAGCCAAACTGCAACAAAAAAAATAGGGGAGGCTTGGCGCCTGTGGCTTAGCAAGGCTTAGCCTTGCCTTGACACCTGAGCTGGTGGGTTCGAATTCAGCCTATCCTGCCAAGCAACAATGATGGCTGCAACCAAAAAATAGCTAGGCATTGTGGCAGGTGCCTGTAGTCCCAGCTACTTGGGAGGTGGAGGCAGGAGACTCGCTTGAGCCCAGGAGTTGGAGGTTGCTGTGAGC